GCTCTTCAGCCCAGCAGAGAAAGTAGGTAACAGCTGGTTCCCAAAGGGAGAGAAGTCCACGCTTGCCCCAGCTACCATGCTTTTGAGTTCTATTTTTGAAGGCTCTCTGCCTTGCTCTTTCATAACTCACACATGTTCCTTATCTCCTGGCCTGGGCAAGACCTTGCCTTTTGTCCAGTCCAGGCCCATTAACTGAACTGGGTGAGGGCTGGACTTGCAGACTGCATAGTAGAATCCTGCAGATCAGCTTTGCATTTCTGTTTTATTTTACTTCTTGAAGCCAGATTCTTTCTTTCAAGTGACAGCAGGTGTTCCCGAAGTCGCACTTAGAGAATGGGCTTCACCATGTTCCTACTTATGGCCCTCCTTGCAATTATCTATAAAGGGGTGAAGATGTGTGTTCCTCTAAAAGTGTTCATCACTTTTGGCAAGGAGGCCGGTAGGCACTTAATCAATGCTTGTCGCATGAATAACTTTCTGCAGAATACCAAACACAATGTAGTTGCAATACTAGGGAGTGTTTATTTTGGAGGCAGAAGTTAGGGAGGAGGAGAGAGTCAGGAATTCAAGATGGTTCCTAGTTCCTGGCTATGCTGATTCCAGAAAATAGTAATAATTGAGGGGTTTTAAAGTATTTTCATATTATGCAGCTCTAGGTTCTCGCACAAGCAGAGCTTGAGACATCAAAGTACAGAGAGTAGAGTGGAAAGGTTGTTTTCATTCCACTTTTCCCCTTCTAGCAATGCCCCCTAACCAGCATATTACCTGGTGCCAGCCAGTCCATTGTGGGAGTCAGCAGTAACCTCCTGGTTGTTCTCTGCATCCTTGCCAGTTTAGTACTTTTTCATCCTGACTGTCTTACTGGATTGGCTATCGTAGGCTCTTCCCTTGTTATTTTTTTTTCTGGCAGGGCATTTTTCAGTACTGAGGAGCAAATGTTTAATCTCCTAAATGAAGTCTACTCCACTTTAACTACTACATATAGGTCACTGCACTTATTTTCAAAGTTTTAAGAGAGATTCTCTAGCAAATAATTTTCCCTCTTCCCTTGCTAATACCTCAGCCTTTCTCTCTGGTCAAATCCTGTGACTGTACTTGTTGGTCTGTAGTGACTCTTCCAGCATCTTGAAGTGAGGTGATTAGAAACAGGATAAGGAATATGTACATATTGAAGAATGTTACATAGGAGGATATAGATGCAGTCTTTGTATTTAATTTATATCTATGCAGGGAAAATTTGGTATCTAGCTCCATCCATCTGACTGACTGTCTTGAAACTGGTGTGCTGGTGCATTGTGTCCAAACAAGAAATCAGAAAATTGAGCTTAATAAGACCAGTCTTATACATGAGCATTCTGGGAATTGATGGTCACCCACAGAGTTTCCAGAGTGCTGGGCACTTAGTAAGGCTCTGGGTTGGGAGTGGAGGGGGGAGAAACATACTTGAATAAACATTAAACAATCTGTTTTTTTCCTGCAAAAGGGGTTGTGCAAGTATAGATTGGTGGAACATTATGGCATTGGGCATCTGAGGCAGAGCTGAGGAAGAGCCACAAAAGTGGAAGTGGGGAGGATATCATACCCAACTTAGCCTGTGTCATGATAGTTTTAAAAACATCAGTGAATTCACAAAATTAAATTTGCTAGCTCAAACATCTGTAGCACAGTATTTTGTTTTGTTTTCCATTTTTATCGTTGCAAGAAGGATATTTGAGGGTGATATTGACCTAATGAACTGGAATACTGGACATATTTTGTTCATCCACAGAGAAAATGCCAGTCTTCAAAATGTGCAAAAGTGGGATTTGATACTATTTAGAGAAACTCTCAAATTATCTTCAATTCCACACTAAGCACCTTGGTAAGAACTTAAAGATTTTATTTAGAATGACTAGAGGCTGAGCTCTGTATATGACTTGTTTTTAAAATTAAGGAATGGACAAAAGAACAAACCATTCCATTAATAACTGAAAACCCAAAGAAAGTAAATTGTGAGTTCCTGCACTTACTGCCTCCTTTTCCTCCCAAAGTCTCTCAGTATTTATTTGGCACATTTTCACCATGTTTATGCATATACCTTTCTTCAGTCACAGACCATTGCCGTTCATTTTTGTCTCTTTGTATATGTTAACAGAAAAGGGAGAGAAAGTTTCTTCTTCTAGATATTTCTGAGTTTTAAATTAGTTTTTCTTGATTTCATTGAGGACTCCTACCCCACCACCATTGAGCCTTTTAGAACAAATTAAGTAATGCAGATGAAAGCAAAATCAATTCCAATTTGAAACAGAAATATTGCCCCTTATAGGGCTCTCAAGGAAAAAAAAATGGGAGTTTAATGTAATTAATAAGGTGAAATAGGGAACCAATTCATGGACTCCTTCATTATCTCTCTATCTGGAAGTGTTGAGAATGTAAGTTTTCTTGGGGGATGTGAATTACATTCAAATTGATTTGAAATGTGTGTATACTATCAGTAATTCTAGTCAATGTCTATGCATTTTATTCATGGTTAATCATATTCATATATTTATCATATAGACCTCATATATAATAATGAGGTCTATTATCTGATTGACTCACATTCTAGTTTGTAAGATTTTATTTGTTAAGATATAAAATAACTAACAGAAGTTAGAACCCAAGATCTAGTTCTGATTCTACCACTCATGTAATTAAATCAATGGTATTTAATTAAACCTAAGGGAAGAGCTAATTCCTCTTAGTTTCCTCAAATGAGAAATAGGACTAAATACTTTTTATCATCCCCTCTACCTATAAACACTGAAATTCCCCATGAGATACTACTATATTATAGAAACACATAGCAACATTTAGTTTCAAACAAATATGAAATAAAAATAATTTTTTATTTCTTCTTAATTATTAATTTAAAATGGTGTGCTACTTTGAAGAGATTCCTTTTACACATTTAGAATTAGTGAGATGATAGAATGTCATAATATAGAAAAAGTATTTTATGAAAGCTTTACTTAATATGGGGTGTTCTGTGTTTTTATTAAAGCCATAACATTTTTCTGGCCAAAATATACAACATTGTTTGATAAGTCGTAATGTATCCATAGATACTAAAGACAATATATTTGACATTGAGAATATCCTGGGAATCCAAGGCACATAGTTATCACATATGTAGATGATCAACAATTTGTCTGAATATATTAAATTTGAATATGTAAATAAAATTTAACACCTCCTATTTAATTTGTCAGGCACACAGCAAGTTTTCCATATTAGCATGCATTCAAATCCTGACCAAAATAATTACTTTCATTACTCAGGATCAAATGTTTAAACTCTTAAAGGAAATCTACTCTATCTTAACTACTCTAGGTCACTTGCACTGATTTTCAAAGTTTTAACATTTTTGTCATTTTTCAGTATTTACCACACAGAGATTTTTAACTCTCAACCACTTAGCACCCCAAAATATCTTAATTCCATCTCAGAAAATCCAGGTTTATTTGAGAATCTAAGACACATTTTTCCCTTCTAATACATTTTTATTTTTAATAGCAGGTAGTAGAATAAAAATAATCTCTATAGAGAATTAGAAACCTTTGGGCAGGATTTGGATGGAGGGTTCAGGGCAGGTGTTTATACTTCCCAACATATTCTTCCTACTTAAACTATAATCATTTTTCACCTCCGTTCAGGTCTTCTTTCTGCCTGCAGCCCTCTCTAAATTCCCAGTGGGCAGTGTTCCCACCTCAGTCTCCTTTCAGATCTTGGACACATGGCTGTGTGACCAAGAGAATCAGTACAGAGCTCTATGATTGCCTCTTGTGAACAATTTGAGCAAAGGATTCCTAAGCACAGAATGGGAACTTGAACTTACTAATTCATTATAATGTGGCAAAAGGACATCTGAAATGATACTAGTCATGTATTTCTTGGAAGGGCACATTCAAATAAAATGTATACTCAATCAATGTTGGTTCTTACCTATGCACTTCCCCAGCATACCGATTAAAAGTGAAAAGAAAAGAAACTCCTTTTATAATAATCGGTTATATGCAGGGTGATCCAATGAAAAATCAAGGAAGAACCTAGCAAAAAATATTTTTAAGCCCTGACCCATGTGGCACAGTTGTTTGGGTGTTGTTCCTTGCGCCCAAAGGTTGCCGATTCAATTCCCAGTCAGGGCACGTGCCCCAGTTGCTGACTCAATCCCCAGTGGATGTTTCACTCTCACATTGATATTTTTCTCTCTATCTCCTTTCCTCTCTCTCTAAAAATCAATTTTTAAAAATCTTAAGAAATACTTTTGTCAATAATAAAAATTCTTATTTAATTCAAGTAATTACTATGTGCTGAGTATGTGACCTGCATCATACAAAGTAACATCTGACTGATGTTGAGTCCTGAGCTATAACTCCTTCTGCAGGTCCCCACAGACTTACTATTATTATTAAAAATGTTTCTATTGAAGGCACAGCCTTCTGTGATTTGGTCCCCTCTGCTTTTTCAGCTTTCCTACCTACCATGTCCCAGTGCAAGCTCCTTAGTCCACGAACACAGAAATCCTCAGGAGCCATGCCATTCTTTGTACATTTATAAAGCTCCCAATGTCTCATCTATCTTTGCATTTCCAGTACCTAGCAGAGTTCTTGACACATAGTCAAGGAGGGGCAATTGTCTGGAGTCGGTATGACCTTGCTGCTTTGGGGGGAAATATTAGAGCAGGAAACACTGCCTTGTTTTTCTCATAAACTACTAGGGAGATATCAAGACTGGGGTTCTTTGTGTTTTACACTCATCAGCATGCTTCGAGAAAGACAAAGGAAAGACTATTAAGGAAAATGTAACCAATCACCCCATTAAACATTTATTAATTACCTAATACGGGCAAGCATCTTCATTCAGTAGTTGGGAAAACAGAGCCACTCTCCGTGGCCTTGCAAGGTTACAAAGAGTTTTTCCTGAGAGTGGTTTTTCTGACCCGTTTAGCGATGATAAAAACAGTTATTCTTGCAAAGCCCTGTGAGTGAAGAATGTGAGAAGGAGGTACTTCTCTGGGCTTGTGACCAAAGTTAGATCTTAACTGTCTGAAGTTTGCCTTATGAAGAGATATTATTATTTTAAAAGTAGGAGAACCTACAAGTGGAGATTTTTAAAACATATAAAGCTGTAGAACAGAGGCTGAAAACTCTCTAAAAAAGGCCCAATAGTACATATTTTAGGCTCTGCGGGACCTGTGGTCTTTGTTGCACCTATTCAACACTACACTGCAGAAGTGATTGAGCTCTGCAGGATTCCAATAAAACTTTATTTACAAGAGCAGGCAGTGGGCAGATCTGCCTCCGGGCCATCGTTTACTCACCCCTGCTGCAGAGAATGGCTAGTGTGAGCACCCTGCTACTTGACTTAGCATGCAGAGAATATTTGAATCTCTCTAGGCCCAAGGAGAGACGACCACTGAAAAATAAACTTATTGCAAAATTCTTTTTTTAAATATATTTTTATTTAAAATATATAGAGGAAAGGAGAGAGAGAGAAAAAAACATCAATGATGAAAAAGAATCATGATTGGTTGCCTCCCACACGTACCCCAATCAGGGCCAAGGATTGAACCTGAAACCCAGGTACGTGTTCTAGACTGGAAATTGAACCCGAGACCAATGCTCTAACCAAATTGTCCTTTCTCAACTTCTCAGAGCTCTTTGTACCTTGTGTTTTTGAGTTAAGTTTTTAAATTTCCAATAGATTTTGTCTTTACTTTTCTTTAGTTTTTATATTCTTAATTTTTCCATAGATGCTCATTTCT